GTGCTAAGAGCTCTTATTTTGTTATCTCTGCAGCACTGTAGTCGCCCAAACGTCTGAATGCTTCTGACACTATGTGTTAGGTTGCACTGTCCAAATCAGCTGTTGCTTGTTGTTTTCATCCCCTTTGAGATCTTTTGCGAGATTGCTTGCCAACCTTTAACCGACTGACAGGAAACTAAAATAGGGCATCCTCTTATCATGTGGTTCTCCCCCCCTCGAAAATAACAAACTAAACTTGACTTGCATACTTCCCTCTTTACATTTACTGCCAGCCGTTTACTTCGCCTTGTCCTGCCAGCTCAGTGCGCACTCACAAGCGCACACATTTCTGAGTCACACAAGTTGTTTTTGTCTCAATGCTCCATTTCTATCCTGTCAGGATGTGTCCGGTGGTTTTTGTTTTAACTCACTTGTCCCATAAACCACTTTGTGAGTAAATATGAATGAGTTTTTGGGTAATCTGATCAGCGGTTTTTGATTTTTTATGGCCTCCTGTAGCTGTAGCTGCAGCTGCAAAGCTGTTACTGAGTTGCTAAATATGTCAGCTCTAGCTGCCTTTCACTTCCACACTTCAGCTCAGTAAAACTGAAGCTAAACGACAGACTGCAAAATCAAAACCTTTTATTTGTCCTCAACATCGTGAGCACACAAAGGAGGCTGACAACACAGATGTTAAGATACACAAGAGACGTTTTTACAGCCAGTAAACTTAACTGCAACTTTTTGCAGAAGTTCTAAAACGATACAGGGGTAGTAATGTTGTATAAGTGGCTGCGGGATGTCACTACAGCTGTGACACTGCAGCAAAAGATCATCAACATCTTTTGCTGATTAATATTCCTCCAGCCAGCTTTTACTTGACTTAACTTTTATCTTTAAAACGTTTTTTAAAGATGATGAGAAACAGGTGATTGTGCACCATTTGATATGTGGTAACAGTCAACAGTGTTGTAATGAAATACTCATTAAGGTTGCATGTATCAGTTCAGTTTTGAGCCACAGAGAGCAAATAGCATGCGCTTGTGAGCAATACTTGTAACAAAACCACGAGTCTCCGTGCAGTCACCAAAAACAGGGTTTGCCTCTTCAGTTTCAGCGCGGCCACGTGACTTCCTGCTGGCTTCTGCAGTTCATTCGGCAGCAACACAGCACACATCAGGCTTCCTCAGTTTTTTAATCAGACTCAGGCTGTGACCGCGTAGTCACAGAAATCCTCAGGTGATTAAAGCGGGTCCAACTTTCCCACAGCTTTCTGTCCGGGGAGATCTGAGGATCACAGCGGGAAAAGATGTTGAGGCGAAGGCCGTCAAATGCCTCAGAGAAGGAGCAGGTGCAGAAGAAGAAGGTGAGCTTTTTTTGGTTGCTGTAATTCTTTGTTTTGATGTGTGTGTGCAGCTACACTTAGAAATGCTTATATTAAATAGAAAGTCATCGTTTTTATATTTGTTACTTTTTGTAGACTTTTGTTGCCACACACACTCGTTTGCACTTCGACATCAGCTGTCTTCTTTGTGTGCACATCTTTTCAACACAGGATGTCAGCTTAAGTTAGTTCAGACCTTTGCGGTTAAGCTGAACACACACGAACACACGAAACTTGAGGTTCAGCAGCAGCTTTTTGCCTAAAACAGAATATTTCCTTTTCTAACTACCATTTTGGCTGCAGCCTCGGTGCATTTTTAGAAAAGTAAAGTTCCTCTATTCTGGCGGGGTGAATCATTGCTGCAGATGTAGTTTGAGTCAGAGAAGGCTCTGTGGCTTCTGCTGACTTTGTCTCCAGCTGCTATCAAGATAGTGAGCCTCCTACACTTGACACCAGTGCTCTTATTTTCCATGCAGCTCTCCACCCCGCGGTCGTTTTCACGCCGTGTCATTACACAACTCGCTGCGTTTGTTCTTCTCGTGTCACTGCTGCGGTTGTCGGCTTTAATAGAAGATTGATTTAGCCGAAAGGTCTGTGGCTGTTGAATAAAAACTGAGGATGGGAAAAGAAACATTTGCCACCAGAACTCGTCATATTAAATGTCACTGAGGCCCAAGACTGCTGAAGGTTAAGCTTTGGTGGTTAAACTTTACAAGGTAGACCGTAAGCCACCGGTGCTGGCTGCATGTCTGCAATGATTGGCTGGCAGCAGTTGCTAAAGCTTTGCCAGTTTCCTGTGGTTTGAGCAGAGAGAGAAGGATGAGCTGCGATAAGATGTTGCACGGCGGCGTGGTTAAATGGAAAATTAGACAAAAATGTTCCACAACAGCTACAAGAAAGTCTAAATCTGGAAAATATGCAAAAAAATGAGTCAAATTTGGCTCTTTTGCTCAAAATTACTACAGCTTTGCCTTTCTGGTGTTTGAACAAAAAAAAAAAAGAATAAGTTCTTGTATATATTTTAGCTTTGGTGCTCACGTCCTTCCCCCAAAGGTCTTGTGTATGCCACTTTTGAAAACACAAGCTATTTATTGCAGAAACCCTAATGAATCTAGTCACACATCATTTCCTTTGTGTTTCCTGCTAAACAGCTGCAGTACCTTTGTAAAACCTTATCAGATGCAGCCACATCACCGTGCAGACGTTCAATTAGCCGTGACTTCAACTTCGATAACAGTGTGTGGAGAAACACCGGCACACATTACTTCTAAGAAACCCCTTCTGTTCACAAATTTGAGGAGATAAGATCGTACTAAGTTCAGCATTATCAGTTATTCCACAGAAAACCACAGAACAACTGTCTGATCCTCTTTGCTGTTCATGAGTTCATGATATTTAAGTGCAATGCACGTTTTGTTTGCAGCTCACCCTGCAGAGGTCCAGCAGCTTCAAGGATTTCATGAAGCCCAAGCCTACCTCTCCTGTTGTGTCAGAGAAGGAGTTCAGCTTGGAGGAGAATGTAAGTTTCTTTCCTGGGATTTGCACAAAACAAGCAAAATATACAAAAATACCTATTTTATCTCTTCTTTTAACTTCCTGAATAGCAGTTCCTCCACATATTTTGTTACATTGTTCCTCGTCTCTCGTACTGTGGCCTTCTCTAAATAACGCCTCAACTAGAGGTCAAGTGGAAGCTTTTTTTCAGTTATGACTGTTACAGAAGTGCCCAGTTGGTGCTTCCTGATTTACACGTGTGAACAAATGATAACACTTTTAAAATTAACAGAATATATTAATAATTTCCCAGCAACATTCAGGTTACTGAGTGGAAGTTAGAGAGAAATGATTACAGAGGAAGTAAGAATGAGAAGCATTGCACAGAGCCCCAGATGACAACAGCATGCAGACAGGATGTCCTCCGGTCTAGTCAAGCAGAGAGCCTCTCCGTCCGAAAATCATAAATGGTATTCCCCCGAAGAGTGTAACCATTTAAATTTGGCCTTGTTTTTTTTCATTTACGTCAACTCTGAGCTTAAAACTTTCTGCTGAGAATTCATCTGTTACACCCCTGTCAGCGGTCTCTGCAGACGTGGGTTTGCCATTGTCATTGTGGTTGCTGAATGTTTACACTGCCGATAAACGGCAGCGCTTCTTCATGACAGTGTGTCATTAAGAATAAGTGCACAACAAGCTTCGAGGGCTTCTCCAGGGCCTAATTATTTCATATTTGTACCAAAATTGGCTTCAAATCAAAACATTTCTCACTGAATATGAGTGAATGGAGCTAAATTGACAAACTTATGGTTAGTTTGCAAATCTAGTATTGATTTTTAAATCAGGGAAGCCAAGCTTGACCCCCCAAAATTCTGTTAATATCAGCTGACTAAAGTGTTGTATAGGTTATGCCAAATACAAAGATAATTACCAATCAGCAAATCACTAATAAATACACTAAAGTCTGCAAAAATATCAAAACATCATCAAATAAACAATAATACAAATAAATAAGACCGCGTGATAAAACCCAGGAAACCTGCTCAACTACTACACGACTCAACTTTGAGCTTCTAAAAGCAGCTGGTTTACAGACCAGGTTAAGTAGGATGGCACAAAACCACTCGGGCTCTTGAAAGCAAATAGTAAAATTTTAAACTGGAGGCCAGTACAGGTGTGATGTGATCGCACTGCTTCTTTCCTGAGAGAAGACAAGCTTCTGTGTTTTGTTCACCCTGCAGGTGAGAAAGTAACGACTGCTCAAGAAATAGAAATAATTACAACAGTTTAATCAGGAGGTAATGTGGACAGATGGTACACTTCATTGAAAAAAGCTTGTCTTATGCTTCCAAACTACACCTGAGTAGCAGAACCAAAACAGAAACCTGTGGGTATTATTAGTAGAAGGTTATGGTGGTTGAACGTGACCACTAACCAGGTGGGTGATGTTAGAAATTCGCTGCTGCTGCTCTTCATAACTCACCTGACAAATCTATTTTACTTACAGCAATTTAAGGATAAAACTGCATCTGTTGTCTTGATGTATTCTGTCTATTTGGCACTCTTTTTAATATTTAATGTTAAGTTTTTGGGCTACAGCTCTTGACTAATTCACAAGCGCCCACTGTTGCTTTTTAGGATCTGCGTGATACTAATAATCACTGTGATTAAGCTATGTGCCGTCTCTGCTGTTAACTACCTCAAAAGCCTGAAAACGACATTTTTAGATGTCAGTAATAAGCGCGCAATTTCACACAGTTTGTCTGCAGACTCTCTAAAACTGTGCTTTCAAGCACCACAGTAGAGCGCTTGTGTGTCTGTGTGTGCGTGTTCGTGCTACAGAGAGACAGAGAAATGCTTTGTGGATGGCAGCAACATGTGTGCACACAAACCCCATTACCACAAACGCTCTTCTTAGTCTGTGAGAAAATCTTTATGACCTGGCTTCGATGCCACCGAGGAAATTCATGTCAGTGGCTTGGATTTTAATATTTTTTTACTACTCTCAAACTTAATTCCAGTGACTTTAAATAACACTGAAAACTCATCTGGTGGTTTTCCCTTTTCTCCTTTTCTCCAGGTAGCAGATGGTATGACTGCAGAGGAAGCAGTGAAAAGTGGCAGCAAACTGGGGAAGAAGTGGCGCAATGTCATTTCACGCACCATGACCCGCAAAACGTCCAAGATGGTGCAGAAGGCTTTAGCTGAAGAAGGGGTAAAGACTGTTTAAGTTTCACAAAGTAATCCAAAGGTTAACACGTGATGCACACCTAAAAAAAAAGAAAAGAAAAAAAAAGTTCACACTACTACAAATTTGAATCTGTCTCCACCTTGTGGACAAATCCATGTACTGCAGAGGGGTTTATTCTTTTACCTTGCACAAAAACTTGCATGCAATGTTTTCTAGATTTAACTAAAATACAGCAAACTGCAGAATTTAATGTTACAGTTCAGCCAGTGCTGTGCACTCTTATTGTAATCAAGTATTTTAGATTTGTGGGGATGCTGATGTTTGGGTAAAGAGCCTGAATAAACCCTCCTCCACTGCTTCTGCTTTTTCATGTCTATCTCCTAGTTTGGTATAATGCTCACTCAGTTCAGAGCTCTAAATTTAGCAGACTGCCACCAATCTGTCATGTAAAGGTTAATGTCTGTTAGCACAAAGACAAGCCAGACTGTGTTTTTAAAGAAGAATTCCCTTTTTTGCAAATCAATGACAGATGCCCTAAAGTATTTTCCAAGGTAATGAAACACGTTTGAGACAAAGATAATGAGACACTTCTTTGACGTTTTTATTATGTATGGGAGGTAAATGTGAACTGACCTCTGACCTGCACTGTTGTCCCCAGGGGGAGAGCGGTGAAGAGCTGTCTCCTGTCTCCTCCGACTGGCTTCCAGATCTGAGCGCAGGCCAGAGGACGTCGGTGTGCTCCACAGGCTCGGAGGACACCATGCCCAGCCCCATCAGCCGCCAGCTCTCTGGCAGTAAGTGTGAAACAAAATCACTACTTCAGGCTGTGTGAGAGGAACAGGAGGTCCGACTACACGGATGTGACAGACAGCGTGTGGCCCAAGGATACACTGAATACTTTTTTAGGGTGATATTAATTTTCTTTTAACAGCAAGACAATAATTATAATGATAAACTAGATTCTTGACTATCGAATTCTTTAAAGGAAGGATTTTTACTCAAGTAAAAACAGGAAAGGCTCTCCTACCCTAAAAGTGCATTTTAATTTTAGATCGACCTGATTTCCTCGGTCAGATGCATAGAGAGTCTTCGGCATTATAACTGTTAAAACAGTGTTAAAATGTTAGACCAGGCTTAACTTTGCTGTTGGAGTAATTTAACAGAGGTAGAAAAGTTTCCCAAACAGGTGCTACTCAATCCCAAAGCTAAACTAAATTGTGAGTGCCACCGCTTTTCTTAATTGACACAATTTAAGGGATTTCATAATCAATTAACAAGCAAACGATGCCTAGTTTGATCGAGGCAAACCCAATCCTTATGAGGTTGCGTTAGGAAGGGTATAAAAAAATCTGCCAAATCAAACATGCGGAGCTACCCGCTGTGGCGAAACCACAGGGAGCAACTGAAAGTAGCAAGTTGATCATTTTACAGATGACTGAAAAGGGAAGTTTTCCCTGTAAGATGTTCTTGTAACTGTTCAAGTCTTCAAAAGGCCGTGTTTCCCACTGGAGGAAAAGTGCTTTGACTTAATTATCCAGCATTCATAGTTAATAAGTCCAACCTAATATTATATATTTACGTTACAAATGCTATTTAGAGGTCTGATATCTTTGTAAAATGCCATATTACTTTAATAAAAGCCTGAAAAACCCTTTTATATCATATAAAGGCCCAGTGTGCCATCGGCATGATTCCTGGACTCATACAGGGATGTTTACAGTGTGTTTAAACCTCTGGGGCAGAGGCGAAGGCCTCAGGATGAATCTGACCCAGCTTCTTATCTGTCCTCCTCAGACAGCGACAGACAGAGCCTGGACAGTGGATATAGCCAGAGGGACAGCATGCGACTGGAGGAGAACGGCGTTGCTTACAACGGCCCGTTCTGCGGCCGCGCTGTGGTCCACACCGACTTCACCCCCAGCCCCTACGATGTGGATTCGCTAAAACTCCAAGTGAGTCTCAGAGGGGGGAGTCTTCCTCACTGAGGCGTCCTCCAGGGAGCTTGTTAGCTGTGTAGAAGAAGACGGGTCATTTTGATTATCATCCGTGAAGGAAGAGTTTAATCTACAAGACCCTCCATTACTGGTTACCCCTTTGATAAAATATAATTTCAGTGCAGTTTATACAATAATGTGTGATCAGAAAAGTCTGCTTGAGGGGTTCTTAAAATATTTATAAACTCATATTTTCAAAGCTTTTACACTAGTGATCATTATCTTAAATTACTGGATAGATTTTTGATCAAATATTGAGCGAAACTTTGAGATGATCACAGACTTTAATTTAAACTCATAATTCTGCGAGTCTTTCGTGAGTTTCTTTTATCTCCTGTCAGGCTGCCAGTATTAATGCTCTCTCTTTTCATAGAAAGGGGACATCATCCACATCATCGAGAAGCCCCCCGTGGGCACCTGGACCGGGAAGCTCAACAACAAGGTGGGCTCCTTTAAGTTCATTTATGTGAACCTCCTGCCCGACGAAAGCCCCCCGACCAGGAGGAAACGCTGCAGCAGAAAAGCCAACCGAGCCAAATCCAAACCCAAAAGCCTGGAGGAAGTCCTGGACAGCATCGGCCTGATGGTGAGGGAAACTGCAGAGCAACTGTTGCGATGGTCACCTCTGTCTGATCGCAGAGATGTGAACCTTATTCTCTCTCGTGTTGCAGGAGCTGAGTTCTTTGCTGTCCATGCATGGTTTCCAGACTCTGGAGGACTTTGCAGGGCTGAAGGAGTCTCACCTGAACGAGCTGAACATCACAGACCCAGAGCAGCGCTCCAAGATCCTGAACGCCACTGAGCTGTTGAGAGACTGTAAGTTTATACACTGTGATGCTGCAAAGCTCATAATGTCTAATCAAAGGATGGTGATTTCAGGAGCACTTTGTCATTTTTTTATGCTTCAACTACACAATCAGGTGCACTTTATGGCTCACATTGTGTTA